TTTTGGGAGATCTTCGCATTCTCGCATTTTCGAGCTTCCGGCGGCTCAAGAAGGCCCAAGAGGCCTCCCAGATGGCCCCACGACGACCCAGGAGGGCCTCAAATTAGCCCAAAAGAGGCCTCCAAGACGGCCTCACGACGGCCCAATCCTGGACAGCCCAAAACGGGCTCAGGAACGCCTCAAGCTGGCCGTCAGGGGCTTCTGGCCTAGGGCGGCGAGATCTATACATATCCACTGCTCCCTGGCCAGGCCCATCCTCAACACAGCAGCTGTGTATACGCCACGCCCTCCAGGTTTGGCCAGGAGGGCGTATACACAGCTCCTGGGTTCAGGAAGGGCCTGGCCAGGGAGCAGTGGATATGTATGTTGACTTGTATAACGCCCCCACCAGAGAGGCCGCCATGGAGAGATCGACAGGGCGAGAGGGGAACGGTCGGGCCACGGCCCGTCGCACCTGGACGATGTATTTTCCACTCTCCAGGCGACCACGTCGCTGGCGACTTGTGAGAGAGAGAGGCTAGCCGCTCCGAGGGGCCACCGGCGACTGAGGTCCAGGATCGCCAGGGCCGAAAAGGCGGCGGCCAACCAAGTCCAGCAGCTCATTAACAGAACATTATGCAGCACCTATGCGCAAAGGGTGGCACGCGGGCGGGGAGCAAACAGGGGCTGAGGAGAGTTCTGTTCAGCCGTATCCTGGTACGGCACACGGTGGGGAGGGCCCGCTGGACAACACATAGCGCGCGAGCACGTACAATGTTGACTTGTATAACGCCCCCACCAGAGAGGCCGCCATGGAGAGATCGACAGGGCGAGAGGGGAACGGTCGGGCCACGGCCCGTCGCACCTGGACGATGTATTTTCCACTCTCCAGGCGACCACGTCGCTGGCGACTTGTGAGAGAGAGAGGCTAGCCGCTCCGAGGGGCCACCGGCGACTGAGGTCCAGGATCGCCAGGGCCGAAAAGGCGGCGGCCAACCAAGTCCCGTATCACAGTCTGGAGAGCAGCTGGGGAGAAATTCCCATAACACTCCACTGGCCCACGGCCGCAAAGAAACGATTCAATGAAAAGTTACTCACGCTAGAAAAGAAAGACCGCGAGCCTCGGCCTTGCAGGCTGCGGACCGGACAGCAGGCGGAAGCTTTCGGATGGCCGCGAGGAGGCGGCCGGCTTTCTCGTACCTCTGCACGCTGCGGAACGAGGCCCAGCGCCCACGCGCCTGGATCTCGGGCAGCGACCTGGCACGGCGGAGGAAGTCCTCACTGGGGCCTCCGTGTCTGGCGAGGTGAGGCGTGACTTTGAAAGGGATGCCGACGGCCTTGGCGGCCCGCTGCAGCACTCTATTGTACGAGACATACGTGTGACTAGGAAGCAGCGTCTGCGAGCGGGCACGGCGGGCCTGGCGGACCAGCGCGGCAAAAGCGCCGACTACGCCAGGCCGACTGGCATCGTCAAAGAGGACGGTGTCGTCCTGCACGCCAGTCTTGCTGGTGCGGATGCCGATGAGCTGGCCGGCCACCTGACTGGACGGCGCGACGACCATCCCGTACTTGTTGTAGTGAACGCCAGCGTGCATGCCTGGCGTGAAGCAGGCGACCAGAGGCATGAGCACCAGCTCCGAGGGCCGCAGGTAGGTGTCGAACTGCACAACGAGGCCGCGGGCAGCCTCGAGGTCGGACTCGACGCCAGTCCGCGACAGGTGGTGCGCCATCAGCACAGCGGCCGACCATGGAAGGGGGTCCGAAGTCGAGTCAGGCTCCAGTTTGCCCCAGCCAGCCATGGCGGCGCGAGCGAGCGGGAGGACCCCTGGCTGGCGGAGGCTGACGTTGAAATGGTCGGCGACAGCCGCGAGCGCATACCGAGCATCGCCCCGCGACCGTTCGGCAACGAAGAGCTCCTCGAGGAAGCGGTCGAGGGCGGCGTCGACGGCGGGGAGGTCACGGGCGGTCCAGCGCGCCGGGTCCAGGCCCATCTGCGCGGCGAACTCGTGCAGGCTGGCGTGGTACCGCTCGGCGGTCGTGGCGGTGACCCTCGAGCGCCGGAGGAAGCCTGGGTTGTAGTCAGCGGGCTCCCGCCGGACGCGAGGCCTCCGCGCGGCATCGGCAGCGGCGGGGCGTCGGAGCACTGGCCCGCGGCCCACGGACGGAGCGTCCTCCAGCGGGGGGCCTCGAGGGCCCCCAGACGCCGCCCCACTGCTCGGCGTCCGCCCTCCAGAGCGGGGCCCAGCGCGAGGGGCAGGCCGGGCACGGGAGCGCCCGAGGGCCGAAGTCGCAGCCCGCCGCCCGGCAGAGGTCAGCCTGCCATCGTTCCTCGAGTAGTGGAGCACCATCTGGCCTCCTGGCGCCACGCGGCGCCGCTGCCGCCAGGATGCTGGCGGCAAGGTGGCAGACGCCCGGAGGGTACGCGCCGGCCAACGTGGTCTTCCACTGATGCTTGAGCCCCCCCTTGGACGTACGGACGCGCACCTTCCCAGACAGGTGCTCGTGCCTGTGGCCCCCCTCGCAGAGCAGGCCGATGTCGTGCAGGGCCCCCAGACTTGAGACGACAGTAGTGGGCTTCTTGTAGGGCGCCCCAAACCGGCAGCAGTGATAGGTAGCCCAGGAGCGCGAGTGCTGGTCCAAGAACTTCCGGAGAGGGGCCCAGCGGAAGAGGCCCGAGGACTGAGGGTTCTCCAGAGACCAGTGGATCCCGTAGCGGCTGCAGACCTCCAGGAGACGCACCGTGACGTGAGCACACCGACGGGCAGCCCTGATGGCGGAGACCTCGCGAGCCCCTCGCCGAGAGATAGACCACGGGGTGCACGGGGTGCCGAAATGGACGAACCAGACAGCCCGAGAGGTGATCCAGGAACGTACCCGAGACTCGACCTTCGGGTTGAGGAGGTCGCACCAGGGCCCGTGCTTGATGTCCATGGGGGCCGCGACGACGAGGCCCGCCTGGGCCAGGGCACCAGTCCAGCGCCCGCAGCCCGAGAAGACCTCCAAGGCAGCCCGGGGTCGCGGAGCCCGCGCAGCGGCTGGCGTAGTGGACGCAGACGTAGTAGGAGGCAGGAGAGACAGGCCGTGATCTGACGTTTCGTCCACTCGGACTGGCTGCGTCCTGGGCCCACACCGGCCCCAGCGGCCGGCCGAGCCACGACAGGGCGGTGGCGGGCGGCGGGCGGAGCCCGCGCCCGCGAAAAGGTGGCCGCGACGCGGCCGCCTCGGCCAAACCACCGAGGGCGCCGAGAGGCCCGGCGGGGGCGCGAGCCAGGCGGGCTTGCGCGGCCCCTGCCGGCCTCGCCGAAGGAGCACGTCACGCGGGGCGGCCGGCACGCGCCTGGGGTGCCGCGGCGGACCGTCGCGGGGGAGCGGCCGAGGGGTGTGACGACGGAGGTCTGAATCCTCCCCCCCTCGTCGGCGCGCTGGGTCCCCCGCGACGGCAGGCGGCGCCAAGGCGCCGGCAGCCCGAGCGGGGCCCGCAGCGCCAGCGGCCTGTCCCAGCGGCGGCGGCGGGGGCGGAGCCGCACCAGGCCGTCCCGCGGCCCCGGCGACGGCGGCGCCGGGCCCGACGCGGCGCTGCCCAGGGCGGTACACACCCTGCAGGGCCTTGCGCGAACCACCATCGCTGACGTTCCTCCCCGTGTCAAGGTATCGGCGCCGCCAGCGGATGCCGGTGGCCACCTGGACGGCGGCGCTGCGCCTGCACACGGAGCCGAGGCCGACGTCAACGGCGCGGCCCTTCTCGGTCGAGAGCACCTCGGCCATGTTGTCCCCGAGGCTGAGGACGCGGCGCCCGTGGCACTCGAGGCTCCTGGAGGCGTGCCGAAGCCCCGCGAGGGCGATCCGGGCCTCAAGGATGTGGATGGGCGCTCGCGTCCTCCAGGCACCCTCCACGACAAGCGACCAGGCCTCTGGGGCCACGAGCTCGTTGGGGATGTCCTCGAAGGTCGCACGCCGCGGTGCCTGTGCAACCCGAGCCCGCACGGTGCCGTGGGGGCGCTCGTCGGCCCGCCTCGGCGGCGGGGCCCAGGTCGCGATGCCGCAGCTGGGGTCGCCCTCGCCGAGCACCCCTCCAGCGCCAGGAAGCCAGCCGGGCGTGTAGGTGTCGTCCTCCAACGCCTCGGGCCGCTTCTCGTCGGGCGTGAAGCGCCAGCGCTCCCGAAGGCGCGCGAGTCGGCGCACCGCATCGGGGTCGCAGCGCCGGCGATGTAGGGCGTAGCCCGCCTCGGAGGAGTCGGAGCAGAGGACGATGTCCGACACGGGCGCGGCGAGGTCGACGACTGCCTGGAAGATGAGCCCTCGGAAGACGCGGACCTCCTGCCGAGCGGGGCCCGGCAGAGCGGAAGGCGGCCCAAGCCGGCACTCGTCCACGTACCTGTAGAGGTGCCTGAAGATGGACATGGCCGGCCGCAGCAGAAGGCAGTGCTGGATGAAGTGTCCGAGGACGACCCGCACCTGCCACGCGGCGCGGGGCACGCCCGGGCGCTCCAGCTCCAGGCAGGCGAGGTAAAGCCGCCAGGCGCGCTCGTCGGAATGACGCAGAGTCCGACGGACGCCATCGTACACCACGCCCACCATACCGAACTCCAGGGACGGCTCGCAGACCTCGTGGTACACGATCCCCCGGCGGTCGAGCTCCTCCATGACGCTGGCCAGGCCCGCCGCGGCATCGGCGGCGGAGAGCCCCAGGATGCCCACGTTGTCGACGTAGACGGAGCCGGCGGGCCTGCCAGGGGCCGCCGGACGCGGCGGCTGTCGGTCCAAGACGAGGCTCGCAGGCCCGCCCGCGAGCGCGTGGCCAACCCACGAAGTGACCGACGAGTGAACGACCCACAGCGCCCAACTCCAGCCCATGGCGACGCCACGGAAGGTCGGGAACACCAAGTCGTCGGCGCTGACGGGGACGAGGTGGCCGTCCTCCCAGACGTGCGTCGCCCCGTACACCGACGCGGACTCGGGGTAGTCCATGCCGAAGTCCTCGGCGAGGGCGTCCGAGCAGAACTGGTAGAAGCTGTCGGCCAGGTCGAGCGAGGCACCGTAGATGGCGGGCGCGGAGGTCGCGTCGGAGGCTCCCAGGGCAGCGTCCGACCAGTCCTGCTCCGCCAGCGCGGCCGGGGTCCCGAGGGCAGCGTGCGGTGGGCTCCAGTGGGTCCGATTCGTCTCACGGGCGTCGACCACGAGCCTGGTGAACCCTCCCTTCTTCTCGACGAAGAAGCAGCCCACGCGAGCACGAATACGCCGACGGTAGCCGACAAGGCCTCGGTCCGCCAGGCGTCGGACAAACCTGACCCGCGCGTCGCGCGAGCCAGCGAGGTGGGGGTCCCAGTAGGGCACGATGGGGTCGAGCCCCTCCGCGTCGGCCAAGAAGACCCTATCCGGCTTCCGCACGTACCGATCGGGGTCGGCGAAGGCGCGGACGACGAAGTCGGGGCAGATGTCCTCGACGCGCTTCGGGACGATCTTCGACTTCCAGAACTTGAGCTTGTCCTCACTGTAGGGCGCGACTTTGGAGGGCGCCCCGGCATACAGCGAGTCGGACTTGAGGAGCTCCTGAAGGGCTCCGCGAGGTGTGAGCCCAGGCGGCCGTGGGCCGTGCCGACCGATGTTGCGACGCATGTGAGCGAGGCAGCTGGCCTGCGTGGCGGAGGGCTCGCCGGGCGTGGTGGAGCCACGGGCTGGCACGCTGCCGAACCCGTGGACCGAAGCACGGGAGAGGTCGTTGACCGAGCGAACGGCCTCCCGAAGTCGGTGTTCGCGACAACGCCGACGTACAGCACGGAGGGCCAGGTACCTCGGCGCGTCGGCCAGGTCCACGAACCCGGAGGGCTGCGGGACCGGAAGTGGAAGAGGCTCACCGTGACGACGATGATCGCGACGAGCCATGACCTTGAAAACAAAACTGCCGACGTGGAGCAGCCCACGCCGTGAAGGCCGGCCCAGCGGCGCGAGGCGGCGAGCCCGCGGGCTGGGACGGCAGGGCAGGGGGCTCCACGCCCGCCTACCCGTTGCCCTCCTTCTTGGGATGCTTCGGCGGCTTTTCCTTCGAGCCGCTCGCCGAAGTCTCCTCCCGCCACTGCCTTCCCGCCTTCATGATGGCCGCCTCGGACCGCTGCTGCTCGCCGACCCAGGCGTCGAACACCGGGAGCACGAAGCCGCCAGACTCGTCGATCGCGGCATCCAGCACCACGTCGAGCCCGTCGAAGTCGGGCTGGCGCGGGTTGCGCCTGGTGGCAGCCTCCAGCTGCTTCATGCGGCGCACCATGTACTCCACCCCCGCCACGTTGTAGAGATCCAGCTGGTCGAACTGCTGGAGAATGCGGAGGACGGAGCAGAGCATCCGGTGCTCGCGGGCTGTGTTGCTCTTCTCCGGGATGCCGGACCTCCTGACCCATGTCGTATGGTGTTCGTCCCAACCCTCCTGTCCGGCATCCCGAAGAGCGAGGCAGGCCTCGCGCGTGGCGCGCTTCCCCTTGAGGGGCCACCCAGGGATGGTCTGCTCCCGCATCTTCGACACGGAGGTGCGGAAGCTCATGAAACGGTCCTTCTCCTCGTCGCGCTCGTCGCCAGCGATACGTGGGTCCCGACCGGGGCCCCCACGTGCTCGGGCCTGCCACTCCTCGAAGGAGCCGCCGGCCTCGACCCGCACCGCCGTCTGCCACACGTCGTCGATCTGCACGATCCCCACCTCGCCCCGACGGATGAGCACCTCCTCGTTGCCAACTGAGGCCGCGGGCACCTCCTCGCCGTAGTGGGCCGAGGTCGGGTCCGAGACGAACCAGCGCTCGTCCCGGGCGAGGGGGGCGGCCGAGGCGGGGTACCCGAGGATGTCCCCCAGCGCCCGCGCCTCGCGGTAGTACTGGTGCATCTCTTCGGCGTCCACGTCGGCGTCGTCGAACACGTACATATTGCCACGGTAGCGGTCGGGGAAGGCGCCCCCTCGCTGGAGGGCACACACGCGGAAGCCACCCAAGTTGGCTGCCGCGATCTCGCCGTCGGGAGTCACCCACACCCACCATTGGTCCGGCCCCTTGACGAGGAGGACCCTGTGGTGCCATTGGAAGTTCTCGTCGTCGTCGTACCGCACGAGGCACTGGGCGTAGGGAACGTCAAGCGCCCTCGGCATTCACGGCACCAGCCCGCCTCCGCACTCGCTGGAGGGACGCCGGCGTCGCCGCACCCACGAGCTCCCCAGCAGGACCCTCCGCGAGGGCCAGCGGCGGCAGGACCGCGCGAGGCGGCCCCGCCCGAAGCAGCCAGGCAGCCGCAGCGGCCACCCCGGCGGCGAAGCTCGCGAGCCCGACGAGGACCACGAGCACCCAGGCCCCGGTCGGAGCCACTGGGGCCGGGCACTGCGGGCACACGCAGGCCGGGCACGCGGGGCAGGCCGCCCCGAGGTGCTCCGGGCCGCAGCGCGAGAGCTGCTCCCGGAGGATGTTCAGCACGCCCGAGCCCGGCTCGTGCCCGCTGAAGATGCAGGTGCAGGACGGGTCCGCGGGCGGAGCCGGCGCGGACCAGCGGGACGCGAGGATCCCAAGAACCCAGCCGGCCGCCGCCTGCATGCACGAAGCGACGAGACTGGTGCCCAAGAAATCTTGAGCAAACAGGGGCTGAGGAGAGTTCTGTTCAGCCGTATCCTGGTACGGCACACGGTGGGGAGGGCCCGCTGGACAACACATAGCGCGCGAGCACGTACAATAGATTTCGTCGCCCGATGATCTGGAAGGACCCAAGACGCCCTGAGAGGACCCCTGGATGCCCCAAGACGGCCCAAAACGATGCCACCACGAGACTCCCAGGCGGCCACGACGGCCCCACGAGAGCCACAAGACAGCCCAAGAAGGCCCCACGAAGGCCCCGTAGGGCCCCAAGAGACTCCCATGACTGCCTTTCGGGAGCCCAGGCTCCTCCTCCTCCTCACCCTCATCATCAGAATCACCATTATCGTCGTCACCCTCATCATCACCAACAGTAGCATCATCACTATCATCTTCATCCTCATCGTCATCCTCGTTATCCTCATCACCATCACTAATCCATCACCATCCACATCATACGCTCCCCAGGACGGCCCAACATCGGTGGGCCGTACACCGATTCTGCATACCTTGTCGATCGCCTCCCACTCCCACCCCTCCACCGTGCTCGCTGCAATCGCCGCCGAGCATGCTGGACTGGCACGGTGGCGGGACTTGCCGCAGGCAGCTGGATCAGAAATGCACCATGGCCGCGGGACGGCACGGCAACAAGGGCACACGGTTCCGCACGGTTCTTTCCGTCCGGCCACTACCGCCAGCACCAGTATCGCAGGCAAGGTAGCAGGGCCGCACGGCACCGGTACCTGCACTGATGGGCCTGTTTTCCAACACCACCACCATAAGTTATAGGGAGGGAGGAAGTGGAGGACGAGGAGGCGGACGAAGAGGAGGAGGAGCAGGAGGAGGAGCAGGAGGAGCAGGAGGAGGAGGAGGACGAGGAGGAGGAGGACCCCCTCCCCCTGCAACCTATGGTAGTGGTGGGGGGGAAAAAAAAAAAAAAAAACGCCCATCATGCACGGTAGCAGGACCGCGCGGTGCCGTAACGGCAACCATGCGGCACCGGCACGGCAGCAGGACCACGCGGCAGCACGACCACTTAGCTTTACCCCTAATCGCTTCCTCCTCCCCCCGAAAATTATAGCCAGAGTGCAGTATCCCCAAACAGGGTTTTCAAACCCACGGCGGTTCCCAGGGTCGATTGCGTGCCCGTCCAGTGCGGGCTGGAATGGCATGTTAGAACATGATCACATGATGTTTGCACATAAGATGTTTACACGAACACTTGTGTGACGCATGATGCCTACCAGGAAGCTAACGCTAGAGGGTGTCGTACTCTCTCGCACCTGGTCGAGTAAGCTGTCGGGTCGGCACTCCACACTGTGAACTCGGAAGCAACTGTAAGAGGAAGCGGGGGAGGGCGCGGAAGCGGGGGGGGCATGTCTCAGAAGAAAAATCGTAACGTCGGATGTTTGGGGAGGTCGGAAGGCAGAGCGCGCATGACGGATGCTGAGGCGACAGAAACGACGACGGCGGGGACGGGGAGGCGGAGGCTGAGGCGCAGCAGCGGGAGGCGGGAGGCTGGAGGAGGGAGGGAAGAGGAGCCAGGCGGGAAGCGGGAAGAGGGAGGCGGGAGAAGGAATGAGAGAGGTTGTGATTGGAGCCACTGTGCTGCGAAACGTCTCAGGCAGAACGGGCAAGACCATCTCGCGCGCAACATCTTCGAACTTCGCATTGTGAGGATGGCTCAAGCGAAACGGGCCGGACCACCTCGCGAGCGACATCTTGGAGCTCAGTATTGAAGGATGTCTCAAACGAAACGGGCCGGACAACCTCTCGCACACGTTCTGACAAGTCCACGTCACACTCGCTTCCCGTTAGGTCCTCTCCTGCAACTCCCCTCCTTTCTCCTCCTCCTCCTCCTCCTCCTCCTTTTCCTCCTCCTCCTCCTCCTCCTCCTCCTCCTCCTCCTCCTCCTCCTCCTCCTCCTCCTCCTCCCCCTCCCTCCTGCCTGCTCCCTCATCCACATCATCCTCCTCCTTCACCCTTCCATCTCCTTCTTCTCCTCCTCCTCCTCCTCCACCTCTTCATCCCGAACGGCATCTCGGAGCCCAGAGTTGCGAGGATGTCTCCAGCGTAACGGGCTGGACAACCTCGCGAGCGGCATCTCGGACCCCAGAGTTGCGACGATCTCTCGGGCGAAACGGGCCAGACCACCTCGATCGCGGCGTCTCAGAGCTCCGAGTTGCGGGGGCCTCCTGGGGCATCCTGGAGCCTCCTGGGGACCTCCTGGGGCTTCCTCCTGGGCCTCCTGTGGCCTCCTGGACCCCACCTGGGTCTTGGAGCTCCCAGGGGGGATATCTAATATGTGGCCGTCTGGGCTCCCCAAAATGAGGGGGGGGGCCACAAGAGCAGGAAAAATCAACGAATCGACACCAGATGTGTATTAACTTGACACGTTCTGATAGGGGGCCTCCTGGGGCCTCCTGGGAGCCTCCTGAGAATATCCTGGGGACCCCTGGGGCCTGTCCTGGGCGTCCTGCGGCCTCCTGAAGCTCTCTGGGGCCTCCTGGGTCTCCCAGGGTCCCAGGGGGGATATGCAACATGTGGTCTTCTGGGCCTGCTGGACCACCTCTTGTGCGGCATCTGGGAGCTCAGAGTTGCGAGAATGTCTTGCGCGAAACGGGCCGGACCACCTTGCGCACGGCATCTCAGAGCTCAGAGTTGCGAGGATGTCTCAAGCGAGACGGGTCGGACCACCTCGCGCAGTGCATCTCAGAGCTCAGACTTTGGAGAATGTCTCAGGCGAAACGGGCTGGACCATGTCGCGCGCGGCATCTCCGAGGTCAAAGTTGCGAGGATGTCTCAGGCGAATTGGGCTGGACCACCTCTTGCGCGGCATCTGGGAACTCACAGTTTCGAGGATGTCTCAGGCGAAACGGGCCAGACCACCTCGCGCGCGGCATCTCAGAGCTCAAAGTTTCGAGGACGTCTCAGACGAAACGAGCCAGACCACCTCTCGCGCGGCATCTCGGAATGCAAAAGCGCGAGGACGTCTCAAGTGAAACGGGCCGGACCACCTCTGGGGTGGCATCTCGGGGCTCAGAGTTTGGAGGATGTCTCAAGCGAAACGGGCTGGACCACCTCTCGCGCGGCATCAGAGAGCGCAGAGTTGCAAAGATGTCTCAGGCAAAACGGGCCAGACCACCTCACGCACAGCATATCAGGGCTCAGAATTTGGAGGATGTCTCAGGCGAAATGGGCCGGACTACTTCTTGCGCGGCATCTCGGAGCCCAGAGTTTGCAGGATGTCTCAGGCGAAATGGGCTGGACCACCTCTTGCGTGGCATCTCAGAATTCAGAATTGCGAGGATGTCTCAGGCGAAACGCGCCGGACCACCTCGCGCACGGCATCTCAGAGCTTAGAGTTTGGAGGATGTCTCAGGCGATACGGGCTGGACCACCTCTCGCGCGGCATCTGGGAGCTCAGAGATTGGAGGACGTCTCAAGTGAAACGGGCCGGACCACCTCGCGCGCGGCATCTCAGAGCTCAGAGTTTGGAGAATGTCTCAAGCGAAACGGGCCGGACCACCTCTTGCGCGGCATCTGGGAACTCAGAGTTTGGAGGATGTCTCACGCGAAACGCCGTCCCGGACAACTCAGAAACGAGAGTTGCGAGGATGTCTCAGGCAAAATTGCCCGGACCACCAAATTTGTTTGAGGACGTCTCTGCTTTGATATCCCTCGGCCAGAGTTAGCTTCTATCTCAACAGCACCGCGTTCAGCAAGCTGTTTGGGGAAAAACCTCCTTTGCCTCTCATATGAAAATGGTGCCCTCGTCTGAAACTTCGTCACGGATGCGGGGCGGTTCCTCTTCAAAGCTAGGCTGTCGCCGGACACTTCCTCCTGGCAACGTTCCAAACCGACTTTGTCGAGTTCCTTCTAGCTGGAAGGATGCAGGGCGGTTTCCTCGAATATTTCCCAAACCTCCACGAGGCTTGACACGGGGTGGAGCCATACAGGCATCTGGCACAGATCAACCCGCCTAGAGATCAGATGTGCATCCCGAACATACTCCTCCTCCCATGCTTCCTCCTCATTCCCTCTTCCTCCCTCACAAGGGGGACGAGTGACGAGAGGGGAGGGGAAGGGAAGGGAAGTGGACTGGTGGGAATCTGCCGACCCTGTCGGCGTGTGGAAGATGCTCTTCCGCTGGTCGCCGTCGTCATCGTCGCGTCGTATCCGTCGTCTCCGTCGTCGTCTCCGTCGTCGTCTCCGTCGTCGTCTCCGTCTCCGTCGTCTCCTCGTCGTCTCCGTCAATCGTCGTCTCCGTCGACCCCCACTCCTCCTTCAGCGCGCCAGCCGAACCCGCATTGAGCAACGTTGCAGCTGAATCGAAGGGAAGCCCCTTCCCTTTGATCCTTTCCCTGCCGGGGGGGGGTCCCGGGGGGTTGGGGGGAGGGGGGGGGGCACCTGGGGGGTGGGTCCCAGGTGGGGTCCCTGGGGACGGTCTCGGAGGTGGGTCGCCCCCCAGATACGCATCCCCCCGGGCGGTTCTCGGCCCAAGAAAGCCCCAAGGCGCGGCAAGTGTACCCCAAGAGGCCCCCAAGACGGTCCTCGTATGGGTCTAAGACGCCAAAGTAGCCTCCAGACGACTCAAGAGGTGTTCAAAACGGCCCAAGAGACCTTCAAGAGCACTCCCCAGAGGGCCCAAGAGCAAAAATCACAGATATGATTCAAGTTTCCCAACCATCCTGTGGTGTTGGGTCCTCGTTTTGAAGAGACGGCGCCCCGCGTTCCCGCCTCCTCCTCCCCCTCCTCCCTTATCCCATCCCTGCCTCTGCTTTTCGCGTGCCGTCATCGCCATCACTATCGTCATCATCGTGATCACCATCGCCATCATCGGCGCCATCAACATCGCCATCGTCAGCGTCGTGACACGCCCCTCACACAGTTCGTGGCCTCATAGGAAGCTCCACCGAAGGCTCCAGTGTCGGAGGTTGCACGCGTCAACGCCACCCATTTCGGCATACCCCTCACACGGTTCGTGGCCCCGCAGGATCTTCACCGAAGGCTCCAGTGGCAGCGGTTGCATGCGTCAACGCCACCCATTTCGGCATACCCCTCACACGGTTCGTGGCCCCCATAGGAAGCTCCACCGAAGGCTCCAATGGCAGCGAATGCGTGCGTCAACGCGACCCATTTCGGCATACCCCATCACACGGTTCTTGGCCCCAATGCTGAGCTCCATTGACGGCTCCAATGGCAGCGGGTGCATGCGTCAACGCCACCCTTTCCGGCACACCCCTCACACGGTTCGTGGCCCAATAAGGGATCTCCGACGAAGGCTCCAGCGGCAGCCCTTGCATGCGTCCACGCCAGTCATTTCGGTTCGTGGCCCCAATGCGGAGCTCCACCGAAGGCTCCAATGGCAGCGAATGCGTGCGTCAACGCTAACCATTTCGGCACATCCCTCACAGAGTTCGTGGCCCCACTGGGAGCTCCACCGAAGGCTCCAGTGGCAGCGGTTGCATGCGTCAACGCTTCCCATTTCGGCATACCCCTCACACGGTTCGTGGCCCCCATAGGAAGCTCCACCGAAGGCTCCAATGGCAGCGAATGCGTGCGTCAGCCCAACCCATTTCGGCATACCCCTCACACGGTTCGTGGCCCCAATTGGGAGCTCCACCGAAGGCTCCAGTGTCGAGGTCGCATGCGTCAACGCCACCCATTTCGGCACACCCCTCAAACGGTTCGTGGCCCCACAGGGAGCTCCACCGAAGGCTCCAGTGGCAGCGGTTGCATACGTCAACGCCACGCATTTCGGCACACCCCTCACACGGTTCGTGGCCCTCCACCGAAGGCTCGCCACCCATTTCGGCACACCCCTCACACGGTTCGTGGCCCGGTAGAGATCTCCACCGAAGGCTCCAGTAGCAGCGGTTGCTTGCGTCAACGCCACCCATGCCAGCATACCCCTCACACGGTTTGTGGTCCCAATTGGGAGCTCCACCGAAGGCTCCAATGGCAGCGAATGCGTGCGTCAACGCAACTCATTTCGGCACACCCCTCACACGGTTCGTGGCCCAATAGGGAGCTCCACCGAAGGCCCCAGTGGGTGCGTCTGCCACACCCAGTACGGCTTTTCGTGGCCCGATAGGGAGCTTCACCGAAGACCCCAGTAAAGGTGCCCGCATACGTCCGCCACTCCCAGTACAGCGCTTCGTGGCCATATAAGGAGCTCCACCGAAGGCAAGTTAGGGTGCCTGCACGCGTCCGCCACACCAAGTACAGCGCTTCGTGGCCCCATAGGGAGCCCCACCGAAGGCCCCAGTGGCGCAGCCCGCATGCGTCTCCCACACCCAGTACACCGCTCGTGGCCCTATAGGGAGCTACACCGAAGGCCCCAATGGCGCAGCCCGCATGCGTCTCCCCCACCCAGTACAGCGTTTCGTGGCCCCAGAGGTAGCTTCACCGAAGGTCTCAATTACGCAGCCTGCATGCGTCTCCCCCACCGAGTACAACGCTACGTGGCCTCATAGGGAGCTCCGACGAAGGTCTCACTTACGAAGCCCGCCTGCGAATCCTCCACCCAGTACAGCGCTTCGTGGCCCCATAGGGAGCTCCACCGAAGGTTCCAGTGGCGCAGTTCGCATTCGTCTCTCCCACCCAGCACAGCGTTTCGTGGCCCTACAAGGGGGCTGAACCGAAGACGATACCTACAACTGCGGTATTCACAACTGCATATGGTTGGGTCCTTCGCCAGGCTAATTGAAAGATTGTGGCGTTCAAACCTTGTCAGCTTCCCGACGCTCCAAGGCAGCCTAAGAGGCCTGGGAGGGCCCCAAAAAGACCCAGGAGGGCCCCCTAACCGCCCAAGAGGCATCCAAGACAACCTAAGGGGCACCCATGACGGCTCCAAGAGGGAACCAAGACGGGGGACCTGAACGGACATTTCGAGCCCGCAGCCTGAAAGGCTCCCAGGAGACCTCCACATGTCCGAAGAAGCCGCCCCAGAGGCCCCAAGAAGCCCCCACGAGACCCCCAGGAAGCCCCACGAGGCCCCTATCCCAAGAGGCCCCTAAAAGCCTCCCACGAGGCCCAAAAACTACCCCAAGAGGCCCCCGAGAGCGCTCGTCGTCGTCGTCGTCGCCGTCGTCGTCGCAGTCGTCGTCGCCGCAGCCGCCGCCGCCGCCGCCGTCGTCGTCATCGTCGTCGTCGTCGTCGTTCAGAGTCGGCCGTAAGGCCTCTCCAATAGACATGGCACCTGGGACCTGGACCTTCCCAGCGTGAGCAGCTGAACAATACTGCGAATGCACGACAATGCAATTACTACCGGTGTCTTCGTTGCGAAGCGTTCAGTACATGACTGTTACGGCTGCATTTAAGACCAATAAAATTCAACTAGACAAGCCAGAACAGTGCACAAACGACCTGTCAAGGGGATGCCCACCCGTCAGCCCATGACTTGCCAAGAAGCCTGGATACTATCCTGGCCTTTTGCAACGACATGTAACGCACGTGAAAAAAACGTGCGCGGTCACCGCGCCATGCTCAGCATGCTCCAAATACGAGCCGGGCAAGGCTTCGGGGGAGGATGGTCCTCGATGATGAGCGTCTCCATCGAGTCATCCACCGTGTAACTCGCGGATCAGAATGGGCAGAAGCGACACCATGAGAGCAAAAACCCAGTGGGCACGCCCTGGGGACCTCTCCCTGGAAACGTTCTGGCCAGGATTTCTAGGCGAATCCTGCCATGGCGACGGGGCAGCCCCAAGACGTCCACAAAGGCACACACGAGGCAGCGGTGTCGGTACCTGTTCCCCCTCCGACGCTGGTTTTGTCCTGCTTGCTCCCCGTTCCCACTCTTGAGACCCCGCGCCCGCAGCGCCCCGCCGACAGCAGACCTTCACCCAGGCTACGTCCACGCCACGACTCGCCCCACCCTTCCCCCCATCACGACGAGACGTAAGACCCGGGTACGGGGGACTCGGAAATCCCCGACGAGATCGTCAAAAAAATGACGAGGCCGAGCCTGCATTTTGACGAGGCCTCCCGCTGCAGACATCCCACGAAACTCCTCCTCGTCAAAATCCGAGGCGCGGTCGTCAAAAAACGATGGCGAACCCGAGTCCTGGCAAACCCGGGTCTTACGTCCCCCCATCACGAGGACGCGCGGCGAGAACGCGAGGCCCTCGGACGCCCCAGGCTGCCGCCGAAGCCGGAGGCCCCCTGGCCCCTGGCCTCGGGCCGGGAGGGGCCCGAGGGGAGGGGGCCAGGACGTTGGACGCCCGACAACAACAAATGGGGTGCCCGATAACCCGGACGATCGCCCGACCCCCCAAAAAACAGTCTCCTGACGACAGAGGCCCCCGAGGCCCGACATCGAGGAGCGAGATAACCACGCCGTCGGAGGCCTTGGACGACGGCCGCGCGCGCGCGAGCCGCGCAGGGCCCCCGGGATTGGGGACATGGGTGCCGAAAAAATGGGTACGATGCCCAACAGCAAATGTTGGTGGGCGTGTTTTCCACCACCACTACCACAAGTGGGAGGGGGAGGGGGTCCTCCTCCTCCTCCTCCTCCTCCTCGTCCTCCTCCTCATCCTCTACCTCCTTCCCCCCTCCAACTTATGGTGGTGGTGGTGGAGAACAGGCCCATGAAATGTTGTCCCGAACCAACAGCGGCCGCTGTTGGGCAGGCGGCCTCCTGTCTCGAATGGACACAGGCCGCGGCGGCGCGGACAGCGAGGCCTGTTCAAAATGAACAGGAACTGCTGTTGGGCATTGTGCCCATTCTTTCGGTACCCATTTCGGGCGTCCAGAAGGATGCAAGAGGCACCCCTGGCACGCTGCTCGTCCCTCTGGATACGAAGTTTGGCGGCACGTCCCCGCGCCTGGCGGGCACGCCGCGGCCGGTGCCCTGGTGCACCACCCGGCACGGCGAGCCGCTTCTGGCGCGGCACGCGAACAGGCGGGCGCGCGCCCAGACGTGCGACACCTGGGCGCCGGCAGGGCGGGGAGCAGGAGGAGGAGGAGGAGAAGGAGGAGGAGGAGGAGGAGGAGGCACCTCTCTGTCGCGCGCGCCCGCTGGTCTGAGAGCAGCGCCGACCACCAGTTCGCTCGTCCGTGGCACCTGGCACAGGGTCGCGGATCGGTCCCGGGCGGACCCTGGGCCACGAGGGCAAAGGGGGCGGCTTGCTGTGAACGATGTTGTTCGCGGCACCGAAATGGCATGCTGCACAGCACGACCATCATGCACCCACCCCCCGTGCTCGTTCTGCGGCACACAGGAACATCAGGACACGATGGTGACTTGAGCGAAGTGTCCTGTCCATGTATGGAAGGGCTTCGCATGGTGAAGAACCCAAAACCGCGGTGAACAAACCAGATCGCCCAACACCAAAAAGCACGGAACACCCTTTCTTGACTCAACTGGCTGATAATCACCACCGTCATGCATGAACCGTGAACAGTCTAAGTCTGGAGAATGGTGAGCAACTCTTTCTGCGCGGCCACAGAAGCGCAAAGATCATGCGCGGAAAGCAAGGGCGATGCATTGCGGGTGTTGGCCAGCAGTCACAACTTTCCCTGAACCAACACGCTGAAGGAACAAAACGAGTAAGGAGACAAGAGGATTGGGCGGAGAAGAAAGGACGAGGGGGAGGAGGAAGGAGGGGGCAGGAGGGAGGGACCTGAAGGACAGGGGAGAAGGCAGAAGGAGAGGGGGAAGAGCAGCAGGAATGAGCAAAATAATCAAAAGGAGAAAGAGAAAGAAGGATGAAGGATATGAAAAGGAGGGAGGATCGTTCATCGAGATCGCACGGGAAACTCTTTGCCATTAGGATACGTAAGATTGCACTAACATACAAATATGCATGTGACGTGGCTCAATACGATTACGCTGGGCACCGCCACTACAAGAAACGGCAAACGGCTATACCTATACATAGGGTTGAGATTTACATGTATCTGATCGACGAAAACATGTGTTGCAAAACAGTGCCTGATACAAACGCTCATATGAATACACACAAACACGAAGCTATGTGCGTAAAGCAGTGTGGCCCGTGGTAGGCCAATCAAAATGTAAGCATCACTTGGCACCCCTCCGGATGAGACGTACAATCCAGACTGTGACGGCCATGTCCACCCTCCAAGACCAACGAACCTCCATTGGTAGCGGATCGATTGCGTATGATTCGGACCAATATGGGAAGGTTTTGCGGACCATGGTGACTATGACCAAGGATCATCATGGAACGGCCCAGCTCACCAAATTAATTATGAATGCAAGTTGGGCGAAAGAGCCGCAGGTGCGATCCATCCATCAGAGCGAAGCAAGAAGCGTGGACAACATGCAATATTCGACCATATGCAAATGGTCCGCTATAAATGTTTGCGCAGTCTTATGAGTCGCACATGTAACAACGTCGTAGCGGTCCACACATGTGGATGAATCCCGCCAAAAGACTATGGTCGCATTCAATTAAAGAGGTGGTGCGATTGTTTTGATCAAGTAAATCAGTGATGACGTGCTAAGGTCGCTAGACTATGCACGAACACGTTTCTGTGAGGAGCACCAGGCGCATTTAAGAAATACCGCATCGCCACAGCCCAGATCTATTCGGAAATTGATGAAGTCCCAGAACAACAACAAAAATGCTGGAAGTTCATCCGGCGCGCAAGGCTGTACACGGAGCTACGAGATGCATCGGTTGATACGCAACCAGACGGGCCTGCTCCGACAAACGCGTCGTTGCGAACTGAAGGCCGAAGATGACTGTCGGCAGTGTACTTCACAACGAGAACTACGCCGTAAATGGATACAAGAAAGAGTCACCGATGAAGACATATGGGATAACGGCAGGAAAAATTAAATGGGTGACAAGTCATTGTCCACGAGCAAATGGAGTTCAAAAAGGTACAGTGTACTATCCGTGAACAAGCAGGAAGCGCTGAATTACGGCATGCACAGGAAGAGAAGTATGGTGCTGGCAATTGTGTTCATGATCGCCTCGGCTTGTGTTCCTGCACATGGCTACGCAGGAAAACTAAAGCTTTGATCGCTCTATCATCGCGTGGCTTCAGGATGATAGAAGCTCGTTCTGTCAGTCGAGTGCTCCAGGAAGGAGAAACACGACACTAGGCAGCTGCCAGACCCGGGGCCTGCAACTGCCAAAATAACCCAACTATCGTTTCCAGCGTCTGTTTCTTACTGTTCTTGAAGATTCCTCCTGTAGAGGGACATGCCCGACTTAGGCCAAACCTCTCGGCGCAGGAGGTGGAGGAGAGGGACAGGAGGAAGCGGACGAGGAGCAGCAGCAGAAGGAGCAGTGGGGAAGACACGACGCCAACGGCGACGACGACGAGGGCCCGCCGAGCGCGGAACCATCGCCGCGGCCACGTGGGGCGGGACCGCTGGCGCCGGAAGCTGCGACAGGCTCTGCGTGAAGCCATGAGCCACCTGCGGGAGGATGCTCGCCGCCAGCCGTCACCCCCCCTCCACGTCCTTGCACCACCACCACTACCACTACGCCGCCGCCTCCTCCTGCACCTCTTTCTGCATCCTCCCCATCCGCCTACGACTGCTGGCAGTACTACGTCCACCACCAACACTACTCCTATCCTTATTCCTTATTGGAATATACTCCTACTCCCCCCTCAGGCCGGCAGATAGCGGGCGCATCCGGGTGGTCCCATCCTAACCTGTAAAAAACAATACCAAATCAACATTTTCTTATTTTTTTCCTCTCGACATGGACGTCCTGTCGTCCACGGCGATAATCCATTGCAAAAAATACCACAAAGAGCACACGCGCGCGTTCATGTCAGAATCCTACCGAACACCGTGTGTTTGCAAGCATTTCAACATAAAAACATCAAAAACCCAATGCTTTTTCACAAAAATTGTACAAATTTCCCGCCCGGGCTCTCTTGCTGAAATCATAGGAAAACCATAGGAATCTTAAGAATTCTGTCAAATCCAGCGATTTCACGTCATCGCGCGGTGCACTCGCGATGCTCTGTCATGCACCCAGGCCGCGAATCCTGTGCAAAAAATACCACAAAGAGCACACTCGCGCGTTCATGTCAGAATCCTACCGAACACCGTGTGTTTGCAAGCATTTCAACATAAAAACATCAAAAACCCAATGCTTTTTCACAAAAATGCTTTGGGGTGTCCTGTCAGACCGTCGGGCTTCCTCCGGCCACCTCTGGCTTCCTGCGGTGTACCGGGCCATTCTCGACTCGTCTGGCAATGCGTGCGCGGCATTCAACACGCGCTCGCCAGTTCCCGTCGGCAACCGCCATCGCGGCCGCATCAGCTGTACCAAACCGGCTGGCCGGTGTGACTTCGGCCCCCAGTTGTGCCAGCTTTGCTTCTTATGTTGTGGGAGGGCGGGTGGGACTGGGCATGCCATGCTTGACTCGCTCGAGCTGGCTAGCTTGACTCCTACTCCTACTCCTACTCCTACTCCTCTCCTACTC